CTATCATTTGCCGCAAATGTGTACGTTATTAGTACTTTGCAAGTTTACTTGAAATTAGTGTCGTCTTAAACGTTTATGGGTTACGCTTATCCGGTTAAGTTTCTGTTCTTCAGGGTTTACATATTCCACTTTGGCAAGAATTTTGTGTCGAATTGTTACAGAAAGACTCTAGAGATTAACATATGTGACCTCTCGCTTTTACTTACAATCTCTGCCCCTTCTTGCTTGGATTGTTGCGTCCCTTTGTTACTACATTTCCTTGATGTTCCTAACTACTGTATGATTGCACTATGATAATCACTTCTAGACAGACATTCAGGTTTATGGAATATTTTCTTACACCGTAGGTCTGTCTTGCCACTTGAAGGATGCCTCTACTAAAAAAGAAGTCACATAAACTACTGGAGCCCCCAAAGGACTTGGAGCCGCAAGAACTTGTTTATCAAGTTCGTCTCACAAAGGAGATTTTTCGAGATTATCAGTATCCTTCTTATATAGCTGTTTGGGTTTATGAATTGGAAAAGACGAGACGACTTTTTACTTATGTTTCAAATGTTTTCCTTCCTCTAATCTGTACAGTTTGAGGTCAACTGAATAAGCTTAAAACTTGCAATACTGTTTCATTCTGGGGAAACCTTCATTCATATTATCCTTCAAAGGCTTGGTTGTTCGTTTTTATCACATGCCGCTCAGATTTGTCTTCTTAACATAAAACAGATTGTACTTGAAGAGAATCAATCTCTATCGCAAGCGAGTTTGGACATGTAAATCTACTGGCAAAACTAGCTTGACCTACGAGGAGGCCCTGGAGTCAGAAAAATTGGCAAGCAAGAAGGTTCAAACACTTGCCAGAGAGCTAGTTGCACCTGCTTTACGTATCATCCAATTCAGTAAGCTCTTAACCCCTTCCTAGATTATGGTTCATCTTCTGATACCATTGTGTCAGAGTCTTGTTTTGTTTAATTATATAAAATTTACTATGTGTATTTTTTGGGTGGTTGCATAAATTATTCGTATCTTCTTTAGATCTCTCTTCTATGAGCACGATTTCTGATTCTTTTTCTTCCATTGTGAAAAGGTACACTCTCATTGAAAGATCTTGCTGACACAATAGCGACCGAGTTGCAAAATTGCTATTTCGCTGGTGCAGAGTTGTATGGAAAAAGGGATGGCGAATTGTATCCGTGCAGAATCTTGAAGATATTAGCAGATGGAGATATTAAGCCTCAGTATGAAGTAGGCTTCCTTGACAAAGATAAGGAAATAAATGATAACGCAGTGCTGTCTGGGGATGATCTGTCATGGAAGAAGTTTCCATTTAGTAGAAATTTTCTGAAGTCTTTCATTCGGGATTCCACATGCCACAGTATTCCTTGGGTAGTTAATGAATATCTGGCTAAAGCACATGGAATCACGAGAAAGATTCCCAAGGAACTTCAAAACAAATATGTCTTTCAGAATGGAGAATTGGTTCAGCAAAGGAAGCAGGTAGATGTAAATTTCACCACCATATAGTAATTTGTAGCGTTGCCAATAATTGGTGTCGGTACTAATCGTTTTTTTCTCATTGCTAAACTATAGGAGGATAAAACCGGAAGGGAAAAAGGGAAAAGAAAAAGAGCAGAAAATGGTAGAGATGTTGCAGAGGAGACAGATAGAGGTAGCTCACTTCATTTCCAATTCAATGATTCTTAGTTTTAGGCAAAAGTTCTATGCGATATCAGTTAGATTTCGGGTTATAGCTGAAATCATGAACCGTATGTGTTATTTTGAGCTTATGGATAATACTGTTGACTTGGGGTTATGACATCCAACTGATTCTTGTTTGCGGAGTAAAAAAAAAATCATTCTTTTCTATATATTTTTCCATTGATTTTTCGTTGTTGATTTTTTTCTTTCCAGAGGTTAATGAGTCTGCGGAAGAGCCTATCATTTATCCAATTGAAGATTTACTGTTGCCACTTGATCCTGATGATGCTAAAATCACTCAACGTCCTTCTCCTTCACGGGATTTTAGTGTTTCAATGGATTGTGTTGGGGATCTTCTTATGGTCTGGGACTTTTGTTCCTCATTTGGTAGGCAGCTGCATCTTTGGCGATTCTCTCTTGAAGACTTTGAAAATGCTGTCTGCCACAAGGAGAGTAATTTGGTTCTTATCATGGAAGTGCATGCCTGTCTTTTCCGGTTCCTCATCAAAGAAGGCGGTGATAATTTCAAAGCTTTAAGGAGAAGGAGTCGCAAGTCAAAGGTCAGATCTTCATCTCATCGAAACAATCCTTGCTTAAAAAAAATAGGTTACAGTAATACGCTATTCTCATTTAACATGAAGTTGCCAGCCTTGTGACTCTTTTTTTCAATTTTCTTTTGTGGTTAATGGCCTGCTTGTTGCTTTATTTCAGATTACATTGATCACATGGACAGAGTATTTATGTGACTTCTTGGATTCTGTTGACACTCCTGAGTTGTGCTTGGACATTGGAACAATCAAACGGGGACATTATGGTCTACTGGACCCCAGTATAAAATTGAAAATCTTAAGGGAATTAGTGAACCACATTACTGAAACAATTATGTTCAAGGGGCAAATAGACGAGCTTGTTGAACAACGGCATGCCCTTGGAGCTGCTAGAAGAGAAGAAGCGTTGGCGGAGGCCCGACAGAAAAGAGAGGAGAAAGAACGCTCCAAAACTGGCGAGGAAGCTGAAGGGAATTTTGGACAGTAACAGGTAGAGAAAAAGAAAAAATAGCCCACCAAGTACTAGAAAGCAGTGAAGGCAGCAAAAAGAAAGAGAGCACTGCGGGGGAAATCAAGATGGAGAATAGGGTTGTTTGTTCCGAAAAAAATGAAAAATCAGAGAAAAGGTTTGGCTTATCCTATTTATCCATAGGCAGAACATTTGATTTCTGATCACTTGGGAACTCATCATTGTTCTTATGGTACTGATAGGCTTATTGGGAATGTCTATCTGAGAAAGCACAAAAGGCAGAAGACGGATACAAAAATCGAAACAAAGGAGGAGGTGGAGGAAGAGGAGGAAGGGGAAGAAGGAGAAGAAGAAGAAGAAGAAGAAGAAGAAGAGGAGGAGGAGGAGAAAGGATATTCGGGAAAGAAGCAGGGGGTAAAATTATCAAGTGAAGATGAGAGAGGAACATTAGAAAGGAGGGGTCCCGAACAGAGGGTTGAGTCCTTCCCCTCATACTCATTTTTGATATGTGATTGTTTGCATATGCACGTGTATGCTTTGACCCATCAAATCTGAACTTTTTTTAATTTAACGCAGAGGAAATATTATGAAGGGGAGATGGAGAAAATAGTCATACGTACAAACTCCTTGGGTAAGGATCGGAACTACAACAGGTACTGGTGGTTCCGAAGCAATGGGAGGATATTTGTTGAGGATTCTGATTGCAAAGAATGGGGCTATTATACCTCCAAGGAAGAGGTACCATCAAGCCACATGGGTCATTTGTTTGTTTGATCATTTGATTATATAGATTTTTTCTTTTTTCAAATTTGTGCTTGTTTCTTGAAATCCAGCTCGATGCATTGATGGGATCATTAAACTGTAAAGGAGAGAGAGAACTGTCATTACACATGCAGCTGGAGAAATTCTATGACAGAATATGGTCAGCTTAGAGCTTTTACTTCTATTTTCCATAATTCATCTGGTCACTTGTTCAATCCGCACTTTGATGGCATACATGTAGAAGAGTAACAATGCATATATCGAAGTCTCAATGTTTTTGTGAAATGGCTGAACCCGGTAATGACCTGTGATTTGCAGCTCTACACTACAAAAGAGGTCGAAGGACATTGCTCACAACATAGAAATGGAAGAAGCAGTGGTTAGGAGATCTACCCGTGTAAGAGCTCCACTTCATGAAAATCCAGCTAGTGCCTTCTTGAGATATGTTAACAAGTGGAAAGAAGACTAAACATAGCAGAATTCAATTCTGTATAGGAAAAGCTTCTCTTTTTTTTTTCTTTTTCTTTTTGGTTTACTTTACGAATAGCAGAGCTTTACAAGCTACAACAAAAAGGGATAGCCTTATGGTATGGTAAAGCTAAAGCTCGAGTAGAAAGATGGTGTTGGGTTTTGTTTTTCTGTTACCACCATTCATCATCACCTTCGTTGACTTACTTTTTGCCAAGGAAAATTAGGATTTCATCACTATAATGCTTACATACAAAAATACAATACTGTGATTTATATGGATAAATATATTTTTCTAAAGGTTCTTAGATGAGCAGAAACATATATATGATTCTGTGAAGTGACTTCAGGTTATCAAGTCAACAACGTTAGACTTCATAAATGGACATACAATGGGCCATTAATCATTAATGGCCTTTAATTTAATGGTCACTAATGGGCCATTATTGGGTCAAAAATAGGTCACTGATGAACCACTAACTTATCACTAGAGGGTAACTAATGGGCCATTAATGGATCAAATATGAACGTAAAACACGTCATTACTGGGTCATTAGGGTCACTAAAAGTCTCTAATAGGTCGTTAATGAGCCGTTGAAGGGCCTATAATGTCACAAATAGGCCACTAATGGATCACTAATGGATCAATAATTTACCACTAATGGGCCAACAATGAATCACTAATGGGCCATAAAAAGTTTATAATGGATCATAAAAGGGTCAATAGTGGGCCATATTATGAACAGGCAATAAATGAGTCGAATATGAACACAAACCAGGCCATTAGTGGGTCACTACTGGTCACAAATGGGCCGACAGTGAGCCGTTGAAAAGCCCAAATTGAGTCACTAATGGGCCATTGAAGGATCGGTAATGGCCCACGAAAGGACCATTAATGAGACTGAAGGATCGGTAATGGGCCTTCAATGATGGGCCACTGAAGGATAGGTAAAGGGCCCATTAGTTTAAGCTCGCAAAGATACCTTTAATCGTTAAATACGTTAATTATGAGTGAAACACAATAAAATTGTTCCCTAGCCCATTAACGATAAAGAGCATACGAATTTCAAAAAGACGAATTATAGAATTTTTTATAACTGGAAAAGTCGAGGGTTGCAAGAACGACAACATATCACACTCAAGTTTTAAGACAAAAGCAAAACTTTGAAGAAACAAAAATCTACTTGGTTCTAAGGCCAGGAACGTTTATGAGACGCATCTTGGCAAGAACATTTCTAGGGATAGCTGGAGGGATGGCAAGTCCCATACTACGGCTAAACTCATTGGCTAACTCCACCAGTCTGGTCGTGTCTTTTGCAATCTTCTTCTGAGATTTGTAGTAACCCAACCACGCCTGATACGCCGCCTCTTTGTTCTTCATTTCCACTTGGCCAAGCCCTTTCTGCACCTGAATTCAACGAGTTTCTCACATCCTTTTATACTCACTCAAATCACATACTCTTGACAAATCTTAGCTTTTGACTTCAAAAAGGTTTGTGTTATGAGATGTGAAGATCCATCGTAAACATTGGTACTTACATACAGATTCAAATACAGTTTCTAACACCCTAGTTGTAGCTAGCAAAAATAATTTGAGGAAAGCTTGCCAAACGTTCACCGTATCATATGAAAAGGCTTACCTTTTTCACAGCCTCAGGGTTTATCAGGGGTAAAGAAGACTTAGTGATGGGTAAGTCTTTAACAGAAGCTAGAAAGTACTCTTCCCACGGTGCTAACAATAGCACACCTTCCCCTTCCTTACCTTTCCGTCCGGTTCTGCCAAGTCTGTGTATATATTGTTCCCTGTCTGATGGCAATCCCATCTGCAAAACAAACATCATACACAACAACTTAGGTAAAAACTATTAAGTTTATAGTTGCGGTTCAGTTCCATGATAGAAAATTACTATATGGTTTACCTGTACGACTAGTGACACATCAGGGTAATCAACACCACGAGCAGATACATCAGATGTAACAAGGATAATACTCTTGGACTTGCGAAACTCATCAGAAACTCTGGTTCTGTAACTCTGTGGTTTTCTAGAATGGATCTCTCTGACGTTCAGGCTTAGCTGACCAAGTAGATCAGCCACCAAACATGTAACCATAGCAGTTGTACAGAAAATAATAACCTGCAACAACAAGGATAATGTGTCAATTCTGAAATACCGTGGTGATTCACAAATGCACTTGAGAAGCAATCATTTTACCTTATAGTCTACATTATCTGCGATATGTTCTTTAAGAAGCACATATAGAAGCGAGAAATGTCTATCCAGAGATGCAATCATGTACATTTGTGTGACCTGGGATAAAAGAACAGATATGAGAAAGCGACAACATCCAATCATATGGCAGACCTATCATTCAAATGAACCTAAAGAGCAATTTTTACCTTTTGATGTGTTTCCCCAGAGCCCTCTTGAACACAATTGATGAACTCATGGTCGTGTTTTAGAGCAATATGGCATATTTGGCGGACCTTGACACCAAGAAACACAATTTAAGATTCCAACCCACAAAAGAGAGCATTTGTGGAAGAAACTGACACTTACCCCTTCAGGTACTGTGGCAGAAAATAAAAATGTTTGCCTCTGCTTAGGAACCGCGGCGATTATCCTCTCAATATCCCTTCGGAAACCCATGTCCAAGAGATGATCAGCTTCATCAAGCACAAGGACTTTCACACCCTTCAACCTTGTGGCAAATCCAGAAGTGTTATCGATATGGTCTATGAGCCTTCCAGGTGTAGCCACAAGAATCTGAAAGTGTTCATATGTGATTATTCGATAATATATAGACACAGCTCACTGTATCTGCAGCAACTTTAATTGCAGGCAAGACAGATAATACAAAAAAGGCTGATTCATAAGAGGCTAAATAAAGGAACATAACCTATGAACACTTAAACGGTGAACAATCCTAACTTGGACAGGGAGATACATTTTCAGTAAAATCATCGTAATTTATCATTTCTATCAATTCGAAGCATGGGCCCAAAATGCTTAAGCCAAGAACAACCAAATCAATTTGAATAAAATATATATGGAACTCCATTGATAACATTTTCCATCTTAGAAATCCAGCTTAAAGGAAGAAGATTTACTCAGCATTAGCTTCACATTAATACACATGGAGCGGCGAAAGAAATCTCTAACCTGGCAAGGATTCTTTTGCATACGCCTTTGCTCTGTAGGAAGCTTTGTGCCACCAATCACAACTTGAACACCAATAGATGGGTGATACTTCAGCAAGGTGTTTGCTTCTGCAGCAGCTTGACAAGCAAGTTCACGAGTAGGGCAAACCACAAGCACAGTAATTGGGGGCTGCCTATTATCCCGGCTTGCAGGAGGAGATTTGAGAACAGCTTCAATTGATGGAAGCTTAAGATATAAACAGAAACAATAAGAACAAATCCCATTTGAAGGCCCTAGTCAATTCCTAACTGAACAGCTACTATTGATGAGCCCAGAGGGTAGAATGTCTCACCAAAAATGCAACGGTTTTCCCAGTGCCTGTTTTGGCCTTGGCTAGCACATCTTTACCTGGAAAACCCAAGAAGTTAAAAGACAGAAATATTAGAGGAACTATAAAGAATCAACCAAGCTTCAATATGAGGAATCGCGAAGAAAAATGCACAAGTTTCTGAGTTTTTATCCCAAATTGATCTGTAAAAGCTTGTGAGAAACCATCAACGAGAAAGAAAGAAAAAGTCCACCTTTGAGAATGATAGGAAGAGTAGCCTCCTGCACAACAGTCATTGTCTTAAACCCGGCATCCTTGATTGCTTTCAGCGACAAGGGAGACAGTGGGAACTGATCAAATCTGTTTACCATAAATATTATATTAGAAAAGCTCTGAAACAATCTCCTCAATCAAATGTGGTATAAGTAAAGAATAACCCAGAAAGAGACTAAAACAAAAGCTTATTTAATCCGCAGGAAGAAGGAAAAGCCTAAATAATGTACCTTGTCTTAGACAAGTAAGAATCTGAAGGTTTGACATTTTCAGTCATTGGCTTGACAGCCTCTACGGCCTTCGTAGAAGCTACTTTCTTAATCATAGGCTCATCATCATCATCATGATCAGATTGGCCTTCTCTTCCTCTCTTCGGACCCTTTCGATTGTTGTTGTCTCTGACTAGGTTTCCCGAGTCATCTTCGTCACTCGTGAACTTCCCGCGCAACGAACTAGTCTTCAAAAGTTTTGCGCGAATTTCTCGTCTCTTCCGACCGGATTTGGATCCATCGGGACTCATGGAAAACGAGAGGAGTAGATGGAAGCGTAGACCGAGAGGGAACGTCAAGTTCCCGTCGTCGGCAAATTAGGGTTTTACAGGTTTTGTATGTTTTTAATTAAGGTTTTAACTTAAGGATGAAGCAGAAAGAGAGAGCGTCACAAAATGTCAACAAAAACAAAAACGGCATGTAGTTTGCTCCCTTCGGCTTCAAAATATCTTTCATGTCTGGAAAGTCTCTGTTATAGGAAATTGGTTTACAAGTTCACTTTGTTTTAAAATCATCACAACTGTCGATATTGCCAAACTGTTAATTTTAGTGATTACTATTACTATAAACTAAAACCAGAATCTATAGGAGTGTAACTTTTGTAGAATTTCTTTATTATCAGAAAGTCAAAGTTTTGCAGGAATGACAAGAGATTACACTTACAGAGCATTAAAGATTTTACACAAAAGCAAAAGATTTTAATTTTTTTCAAAAAAAATCTACTTGGTTCTAAGACCGGGAACGTTTTTGAGACCCATCTTGCCAAGAACATTTTTTGGGATAGCTGGTGGGATGTCAAGTCCCATGCTCCGGCTAAACTCATTGGCTAACTCCACCAGTCTGGTCGTGTCTCTTGCAATCATCTTCTGAGATTTATAGTACCCCAACCACGCCTGATACGCCGCCTCCTTGTTCTTCATTTCCACTTGGCTTAGCCCCCTCTGCACCTGAATTCATCATATCCAACACCACCCATCAAATACTCAATACACTTGAAAAATCTTAGTTTTTAATTTCAAAGAGGTTTGTGTTGTGAGACGATTTTATCTGCATAGAGATTCTAAGACCAAGCTTACCTTTTTCACAGCCTCAGGGTCTATTGGTGGTAAAGAAGACTTGGTGATGGGTAAGTCTTTAACAGATGATAGAAAGTACTCTTCCCACGGTGCCAACAACAGTACACCTTCCCCTTCTTTACCTTTCCGCCCGGTTCTGCCAAGTCTATGTATATATTGTTCCCTGTCTGATGGCAATCCCATCTGCAAATCCAACACCATACACAATAACAATGTCAGTATAGAAATTAATAGCTGCGGTTCAGTTCCATGATGGAAAAGTACTACATGGTTCACCTGTACGACTAGTGACACATCAGGGTAATCGACACCACGAGCAGATACATCGGATGTAACAAGGATAATACTCTTGGACTTGCGGAACTCATCAGAGACTTTGGTTCTGTAACCCTGCGGTTTTCTAGAATGGATCTCTCTGACGTTCAGGCTTAGCTGACCAAGCAGATCAGCCACCAATCTTGTAACCATAGCAGTTGTACAGAAAATAATAACCTGCAACAACAAGGAGATTATTCAGAAAAACAGTGGTGATTCACGATGGCACTTGTGAAACAATTTTTTTTACCTTATAGTCCACATTATCTGCGATGTGTTCTTTAAGGAGCATATACAGAAGCGAGAAATGTCTATCCAGTGAGGCAATCATGTACATTTGAGTGACCTGGGAGATAAAACAGACATGAGAAACCGATAACAACGAATCATATGGCAGGCCATTCGTTCAAATGAACCTAAAGAGAAATCTTTTACCTTTTGATGCGTCTCCCCAGAACCCTCTTGAACACAATTGATGAACTCATGATCCCGTTTCAGAGCAATATGGCATATTTGGCGGACCTTAACACCAAAAACACAATTGAAGTTTCCGACCCAAAAATGAGAGCCTTTTGTGCAAGAAACTGATACTTACCTCTTCAGGTACCGTGGCTGAAAATAAAAATGTTTGTCTCTGCTTAGGAACAGCAGCGATTATCCTCTCAATATCCCTTCGGAAACCCATGTCCAAGAGATGATCGGCCTCATCAAGCACAAGGACTTTCACACCCATCAACTTTGTGGCAAATCCAGAAGTGTTCTCGATATGGTCTTTGAGCCTTCCAGGTGTAGCCACAAGAATCTGAGAGTGTTCATAAATATGATTATTTAAATATATCAATAGACAGCTCACTGTATATGCATCCATCTTAGAAGGCCGGCTTAAAGGAGATGCAAGACTGTCTCAGACTTAACTTTACATTAATACACATGGAGTGGCCAAAAAATTCTCTTATTACCTGGCAAGGATTTGTCTGCATACGCCTTTGCTCTGTAGGAAGCTTTGTGCCTCCAATCACAACTTGAACACCAATAGACGGATGATACTTCAGCAATGTGTTTGCTTCTGCAGCAGCTTGACTAGCAAGTTCCCGAGTAGGGCAAACCACAAGAACAATAATTGGGGGTTGCCTATTATCCCGGCTTGCAGGAGGAGATTTGATAACCGCTTCGATTGATGGAAGCTTGAAATATAAACAGAAACCAATAAGAACAATTCCGAGTTGAATGCCCAATCATCCTAACCGACCAACTTATATCCATGAACCCAGAGGGTAGGATGTCTCACCAAAAATGCAACGGTTTTCCCAGTGCCTGTTTTGGCCTTGGCTAGAACATCTTTACCTGGAAAAACAGAGCACGGGAAACCAAGGAGTTAAAGAGGAAATGCTAGAGGAATTTTAAGCAATCAATAAAGCTACAAAATGGAAGTCATGGCAAATTCGTGGAATTATGAAGAATGATACACAAGTCTCCGAGTATACTTAGATAGCTACAAGCTATTGCTAACTGATCTGTAAAAGCTTGTGAGATGCCGTCAATTAGAAATCGTCACTAATTCCTAAATCATGGTGTTCTGACAATTCTCATGAGAAAGGAAGAAAAATCCACCTTTAAGAATGATAGGAAGAGTAGCCTCCTGCACAACAGTCATTGTCTCAAATCCCGCATCTTTGATAGCCTTTAGCGATAAAGGAGATAGTGGGAATTGATCAAATCTGTAAATCATTCACCATAAAGAATACTCTCGATCAAACAACACCAAATGGTCAAAGTAAGCCACGTACAGAAGAAGCAACTCAAGGATAATCTAGAGGAAGAAGTAAAGTATAACCACAAAGCAACTAAATCACAAAGCTAAGACAGATCACAAATTCAAATTATAAACTTTACTGTTTATTATAGAGCAAGCAATAAAAACCAAAACACAACACGTAAAAAAAAAGAAACTAAATTGCGAATAATGTACCTTGTCTTAGATAAGTAAGAATCTGAAGTATTAGCATTTTCAGTCCTTGGCTTATCAGCCTCTACAGCCTTGGCAGAAGGCGATTTCTTAATAAGAGGCTCTTCATCTTCATCTTCATCGTCATCATCAGTAGTATCTTCACTAAGCAAATCATCAATGCTTCCCAACACTACCCTCTCCTCATCCTCATCACTAGTATCTTCCTCTTCCTGTCTTGAACCGCTAGCCTGTTTCCCCAAACCCTTGTTGTTTTCAAAACCTCGCTCTCTCCTAAACCCTGAATCCACATTTCTCTCTTTCCTTCCACGAAGAGACGACTCACTACTCTTTCCTTGAATCCGACCATTCCTTACACCTTCTCGGTCACCTAACCGCTTGTTCCTAAACGACTCAACCGGCTCGCCGCTGGTTCTCCTCCTGTTCGAACCACCAAACCTATCAATTTCACCCTCATTTCCCCTTCTCGAACCACTGAACCTATCAGATTGGCCTTCCCTTCCCCTTCTAGAACCATCGAACCTATCAGATTGGCCTTCCCTTCCTCTTCTCGAACCATCGAACCTATCAGATTGGCTTTCCCTCTTCGGACCCCTACTGGTGTCCCTGTCTACGTTTCTACGAACCCGGTCTGGACCCGAGTCATCTTCGTCGCTCGTGAACTTCCCACGCAACGAACTAGGCCTCAAATCGCTCACCCAATCACTGAGCTCTGCCTCATCCTCAATCAAGCTCTTGGACGCGCGAATCTCTCCTCCATTACGACTCCGCCTCCCGAATCCGGTTTGGGTTCTCTCTGGTCGGGTAGAGAAATTGACCCGGGAGCCTAACCCAAGGTACTTTAATCTCAAAGGAAATGCCTTGGAGAGAACAGGGACGGAGCGGAAGGAATAGATTAGAGCAACAGAATTCATGGAAGCGAGACGGTTACAGGGAATAGAATGAGTGATGAATCGTACACCGAGAGGGAACTTCAAGGGCATATCTTCACCTGTAACTACCAAGTTCCCGTCGTCGGTAGCCGGGAAGTTTTTGAAGATAAGGGGAAGAGTCGAAAATGACTGAGGAGAGGGTTTTACAGGTTTTGTAGAAAACGCGATAGGGTTTTAACTAGGGGACAAGAAATGGAGTGAGGTGGATTGATACAGAACGACAAGTAGTTTTCTCTCTTAGTTTTGAAACGTAATTTCTTTTTTTAATCAGAAACAAAAACGCTCGCACAACCCGAGATGTGAGAAAACGGGACGTAGTTCAAACCATTGTCTTTGAATGTGTATTTGTATAATGTTAAAGTTTTGCATATACTGTATGCAGTTTCACCCTAATGATCACAGATATGATGTTAAAGCTTGGCATATATTGGCTATAGACTCTTTTTGTAAAAAATTGCAATATTATACAGAATTGCATCATCATCTTTTCTTATCATTGCATCAGTGACTATCTTATTAGGATAATACTTCCCATCATCCTCGTTTTTCATGTTTTTTTTGCTGCAGAATAGTTATGTTGTTGGTGACAAAACCAGCTAGATTGAAGTCATTGCGAAACCAAACGGTCTCAACATAAAGACTTGTAATCCATTCCCCATTTTAGAACCACTTTTCTTGTGTTGATGCAAGGTGGAAAAGAAAAATTAAAAAAATAAATAAATAAAAGAAGTTGATTAGTCCAACATTAATATTCACAATCAACTAACAACTTTGCATATATATGCAGTTTCACCTCAATGCTTACAATATGAGTATAAACATTTACTAACAAAACTGCTAAAAAATTTTAATGACTACTCTAACATTAATGTTTATCACGGGATCATGAAATACAACCCAAACAAACACATTATTCAAGAACAAAAATGCGAGTTTTCACCACAATCAGGGTTTTTTTTTTTTTTTTGGTACTCCACCATTCTGTAGTGGATTTTCATTATTTTCATTTTCTCACTATTGTACTGATAGGTAAAATAATTAAGCGTAATTTGTTCAAAGATTGATACAAATATTGTAAAATAAGTTGTCCTTAAAGCAGAAAGGGGACTCCAGTCTATCAATTGTATTGTCTATCAATTTTAAAACACAGTATGAAATGAAAAAGTATTTTTCAAATATGCGTTATACTCGTAAGCTATTCTTGATTATAATGAAAATTTTTAAAATAGTTTCTGAATTAATAATTATCACTTGTTTTAACTATTTATCAATAATTCATATCAATAATTCATTCGTTTCTATTAGAATATATAGAGGCTCTCTCTCTCTCTATCTCTCTGAGGACACGCCCGATCTAACCCTAACTTAGCGAGAAAGTCTCCAATTCGAACCATGAGCGAATCCGCGATTGAATATTACTCCTGTAAGATCTCTCTCCGATTTTTTTGTTTGTAAATGATTTCATCTAATGGATCTGTCATATATAGTGAACTTATGTTTATGCGTCATTTGTCCGTTTTGCCAAGGTTCTTGAGTGTTTGGAATCGAGAGATTTCATTGTTCTCATAGTAGATCCGCCGCGTGATGGAGTTGGTCGTCTTTTTCAATCTGTAGACTCAGTTGTTGAGTGTACACGAGTTTTAGGTGGAGAAAAGCCTATAATAAGCAAATGGCATGCAGAGCAGGATGCTAAGTACTATTCTCGGCAGGTTTATGGGCAGGAGGATGATGACAAGCAGGATGATGACGAGAAGGATGATGACGAGCAGGATGATGACGAGCAGGATGATGACGAGTAGGATGATGATGAGCAGGATGATAAGCAGAAGCTCCTTGGGAGTTGATATTTTGTTTTCTATCTCAAAAAGTCTTTTTAATGTATGATGTTTCATCTTTGTCCTGCTCTGTTGTTTTGTGTTCAAATGATTTCCAGCTTATATTCCTTTCCCATCATCATCAAATGATGTGTAGTTTTTTCTAAGCCTCTGCTCGACCTAATGCATTCTCCAAGATTTATTTTTTAGTTTCTTAGAGGACACACGCAACTGTTTGTTAGTTATCAAGAATATCTTTTGCATACAACTTGAATGTATTTGTCTGTATATATGCAGTAATGCAAGTGGATTAGCTGAGGTTATCAGAGTGTAACAGAGCCTTCTTAGGATCAAACCTGATCTAGATAACGGCTCCAGTTTTCGTTTTACTAAACATGCAGCTAATCAAAACCCTTTGCTTAAGGCGATTTTGATGTGAGTATGCAGCGACACTGGTATTGGAATGAATAAGGAGGAACTTATAGACTGCCTTGGAACCGTTTCTCAGAGTGTTACTTGGAAATTCTTTGAATGCTCTAATCTAAGGGTTTTGTTTCCTTTTCTCCGAGAATTTGTTGCTACCAAATTGACTAGATCTCTCTCTCTCTCACATCCGTAGCGATAATAAAACCCACAAAGTCTCTCTCGCTCTCTCTCTCTCAGCCGTAGTAGTCTAGTAGACACGCCCGACCTAACCCTAACTTAGCGAGAAAGTCTCTCCAATTCGAACCATGGGCGAATTCACGATCGAAGATTTCTCAAGTAAGACCTCTATCCATCTGATGGATCCGAAATTGTTTGTTTAGATATTATCTGATGTATTGTCATAGATAATTAGCCGGAGGATCTAATCGATCTGTCATAGTACGTAAAATAATGGTGAATTAATGGATATGATTTTAAGCTACATATGTCATGTTTTATTTCGTAATTGGTTTATGTGAAACCGCGCAGAGCCTATCACATCCGTCAATGGGGATCAGACAGCCGTTTTCTGGGACGTTGTTGAATTCCCATTCCCAGATAGTGACAGTCCTGATATGATCTATCGCAAAATCGAATCAGCTGTTCGTGAAAAGGGATGCAGAGGTCAGGTCTCAATCTGGGTTTATGTTGATGACAAGAATGGATCTTGGGGTGGTGAGTTTCTTCATAGGAAGACTTGGGAATCCAGAATCTTCTTCCTTCCTGGAGGTGATAAACTATCGAGACATAATAGAATGTTTCATGACCTTCTTTTATGGATGATTGATTCTCCTGTGCTCGGAGGAGTAGAATCAACTGTGTTCGTATTCTCAGATAAAGTCAAAGAGGAGTTCTTCGATACGCTTGAAAGTTTGACTAATGTCAGATGTGACAATGTTTACTTAACACCTTCGAAACAGCCAGTCATCAAGGCAGAACACGCGGAATGGCCACGATGGCTATTTGATAGCTTGTACGCTTTCATTGTATATATACTGTCGAAGAAACACCTGACCGGGTCGAAGAAACTCCTGACCGGGTCGAAGATGAAGATTGTATTGGACTAGCTTGCTTCTCTTTGTAGCCTTCATTTTGTGTTTGTAATGGTTTCACTTTCTTGAGCAAAACAAGTTGCTATCTGTTGTTACATGGAATTTTAGTCAAGTGGGTCACGACAGGAAACACACATGCAACAATTTGAAGAAACTACAGACCTTGCAGCTTCTTTAAATTGATAATTGTCTTCTCAGAAGCAGCATTCTTAATTTATTTACATGTTTAAAATTGGCAGCTTGTTCTGACTGTGTTTTTTGCCTTCTACACTTCTACTATGTAGTTTGCTCTCAGTATGCTTCTTTTCCTTAGCAAGGCGTTTCCACTTTAGGTTCTCTAAATCTAATAATCAGAAAACCTCTTTGAAACTTGTGAAAATTTCCTCATATTTGCTAACAAAAGACCGACCATCATTATTACCTTATTATTATCATCGTAATATTGGACCCCTTTCTGCTTCACAATCTCACTCAGATTCACCCACTGAATATCTGCCAGCGTTTCTCACTTTCAATGAGTATCGATGTTCAATTTTTGACAACCACTTGACAATTGACAAGACGAAAACGTTTTCAGACATCATATCGAAAAGTGAAATAACCTGTACGAAACTAGTTTACTCCCTTTGGCTTTGGGATGAGATGAGATAAAAAACAGAGAGCATTCCTTTCTTTTAAGCTTTGTCAGCATCTTGACTAGACTGTGCCTCTTTGACATGCTTCTCGTATTCATCTTCTTCCTCTTCCTCTTCCTCTTCAGCTTCAACGTCCTCTTCCTCTTCTTCCTCAGTCCCTGATCCCAAGCTTTTGCTGACACTAGAAGATGGAGCTGGATTCCTTGCTTCTCCAACTATCTTCATTATGTCCTCTATGCTTTGAAGAGAATAGCTCGTGTTGTCTCTCTTGTAATACACCGCTTGAGCCGACTCTATCAGCTCCTTCGGCAAATTCTTCAGGTACCACGGGTGATTCTTGATCTCCTTAAGCGTGATTCTCTGTCAAGAATATTATCGACAATCAGTACCGCAACCATATCTTCCTACGCGAGATATAGTTTGATAATTTGAAAATCAGATACCTTAGCGGGGTTAGTGACGAATATGCGCGAGAGAAGGTGTTTGCATTCCTGAGATATGTGAACGTAGTCTGGGATCTTGTATTGTATAGCCATTATACGCTGAATAATACCATTTGAATTATTACCTTATTGAGACAATAGAGCAGTAAGAAGAGCTAATTAGACATAAAATGCAGTGGATTGTTGAAGATGGAGTTACTTGGATTGTTTTCCTGAAATTCTTTGGATCATTAGGGTCCTCAAATGGGTAAGCTCCAACCAGCATCACATAAAGGGTTACTCCGCATGACCACACATCCGCGTGCTACAAAAACACAGCCATCTGAGTGCAAAAGCCAGTCTATGTGCTCTATGACAATCATGATTATAGAGACTGGCCAATAAACATCCTACATTTATCGATTATCGCCCCATAATTTTTTTAACTAAGAGTTAAGACCCCATGCTTGGACATGTTCAATGTCTGGTCAACTCAAACCTTATTAGAAATAAACAATAACCTGACAAGTTTTACACAGAGCACGCAAGTACAAAGGATCTATAAGACCTACTATAGAATCTCTGAGTAGTCTTTTTCTTTAACTTTCTTTTCTCATTTTTTCTCTTAATGAGATTATCTGCTTACTTTGACAGCCAATCATGTGTTAATGCACAAATTGATATGTATAGCAAGACATAAGTAGTGTACCTTGCCATCATATTCTCTACGAGAAAGAACTTCAGGTGCTATGTATGCTGGAGTTCCAACAGTTGATTTAGGCCTAGAGTGTAGTATGGATGACTGCACATAAAAGAAATAAAAGAGATTGAGGATTGAGGATTAAAAAGAAAACATGACAAAGATATAAGAGTTACGATCCGGGCGAATAGATAATGATTATATTTTTTATGGATTGAGACCACTGAGCAAAGAAGAAAAAGTAACTGAATGAGTGCACACCTTAGAGTAACCAAAATCACAAATTTTCAAAAGCGGAGCAGGGCTCCCATCAAGCAGTGTGTTCTCAAGCTTCAGATCTCTGTGGCATATTTGCTGCACAGAATAAAAAGAGAGGAGAAGCTATTACGTCAGTTCATGAAATGCAACAGAAGTTATTTATAAATTAAGATTGTAAACGATTCATTTGCTATTTTCCCACAAATAGCATCAACAGTGGCAGCTAAGGTTTTCTCTGATTTACAATAAGATAGATATGTATCACAGAATCGAAACCCAGGTCAGAACATCTAAACATCTAAATTCCAAATCTAAAGCAAAGAATCCAAGTCACGAAAACATTGATAGTTTCTCCAATCTCCACAGATGCCATTCCAGGCACATAACTTTACTTTTTCAGCTTAATGAATATTGGAAAAACCATATACATACCAAGGAGTGGCAGTAGTCGACACCACAAATCAGCTGTTGGAAGAAGTACCTAGCCTGGAAAGATATAAAGATTAAAAACAGAAACTTATAGAGACAGAATGAAAAGATCGAAAAAGGGTCCAAGAACAGATAGATCAAAGTGTAAGACTTTATATAGAGAAAATCACCTCAGCTTCACTGAATCTACCGGCAGTGCAGATACGATCAAAGAGCTCTCCTCCAGAAGCATACTCCATCACAATAGCAAGATGAGTAGGGGTCAAAATCACCTGTAAACCGAATCAAAATATGATCTCAAGACAGCTCTTAGATGATGTTAAGAGACCAAACAAAAAAAAAATACAACTTGCCTCCTTGAACCGGATGATATTAGGATGCTTAAGTGATCTGTGATTGATAATCTCTCTGGCCACGTTCTCATCTATCTGCAGTCCATGATCAACACAACAAACAATTAAAAGTCAAACCATTATCATCATTACTTTGTCAAAACCACCAATGTATCGCATTTTCCTGCAAATTCCCTCAAAATGTCTAGCAAAACTCATGAGCTAAAGGTAAAACCCTAAACCCAGCTCAAACTTGAAGAATACAGATAGTTTAAAAAAAAATCTATTCTTAGGAAGGAATCAAACAGAGCACAAACTGACCTTGCGGCCTCTCTCGATGTATTTCATGGCAACGAGCTCTCTCGTGTCCTTGTGCCTTAGAAGGCGAGCCACACCGAAATTTCCAGTTCCAAGATCCTTGACAACGTCATACTTCTCCATCTCCAAATCCTATGTACTAATCTATGTACTTATTTATACCGTGTAAGAATATATATATATATATACGAGCACGATCCCGTGATCGATTCACGTAAAGCGATTCCGATGAAGATCTGAGGAGAAAGCGAAGCAAATTGTGTCGATAAGAAGAAATTGTGAGATCCACATGTGTGTGCGTGTGTGCATCGATGGAGGCGTAAACACAGGAGATGGTAATGGATTGGACCACGTGGAAGATGTGCTCGCTTTCCAATGACCAGCTTCATTTGAGTCATCACTGTATATCTCTAATTATTTTTCTTTAAGTTAATTAAATTTTTACCATCTTTATTCCATAAAGGGCAAAACTAAAAACCATTTGACTAAAAGATCTAGAGTCAAATCTTCTAAAAGATAAATCCAAATAATTTTATTCACAAGATCTATCTTCTTCCTTCACTTCCCAGTGTAAAGAAGCTCAACTTGCTCGAAATTAGGGTTTCAAGTTCAGATTCCTTACTGCAATCAAGAAGAACGTAAAATATGGGTAAAGCTTCGGTGATACTATACATCACGGTGGGGATCCTTGTCCTCTTCCTCGTCTCTTATTCTCCGAAGAAGAAGAGTGACCACGATCACCACCACGGTGGTCACAACCAGCATCACCGCCTCAAACTCCGCTCTTCTTTCAATTTCAAACCCACTCGCCACGATCCAATTCCATTCGATCCTCTCGTCGCCGACATGGAGCGCCGTCGCGAGGATAAGGAGTGGGAGCGGCAGTACATCGAGCATTCTCACCCGGAGCTCGCTTCACATTCCCAGAAAGCAGATACCGGTGGTGGTGGCCATGATCCGGCTCCTGGTCACGAGTCGCAGCCTGAGTGGGAAGATTTCATGGACGCCGAGGATTACTTGAATGATGAGGCGAAATTCAATGTCACCGACAGGTCGGTGATACTTATATATTATATCTTCGATTCCAATCTTTGATTTCCTCTTTTGGATCTTTCTCAGGCTTGTAACTTAAAAAAAAAAGTTAGTCTAGCATTTACTAGTATAATTGGTAAGGAAAGAGTTTGATTGGTACTTTGCAGGCTGATATCTTTGTTTCCAAAGATTGATGTTTCTCCTGAGGATGGGTTTGTGACTGAGAGTGAATTGACTGAATGGAATATGCAGTCTTCTGCGAAGGAGGTCATGCACAGGACTCAAAGAGACATGGATGTTCATGATAGAAACAAGGATGGTTTCATTTCATTCCCTGAATACGAACCGCCATCTTGGGTCCGCAATTCGGGTGAGCCCTCCAGTAACATATATGACTTGATAGAATTTGGTTATAAGCTCATTAGGAGTAAAGAATCTCACTTTTGTCACTACGGAAGACTGCTAACGACTTGGATGTAATTTTTATCAGATAATAATTCCTTTGGCTATGACATGGGTTGGTGGAAAGAGGAGCACTTTAATGCCTCAGATGCAAATGGTGATGGTCTACTGAATTTAACAGAGTTCAATGAGTAAGTGTTTCGTCTTCTGTAGATTACAAGCCACCTATCAAAGAAAAAAAAAATATTCTTCTCATAATGCTATTGCTGGTTAATTCTTTCCACATAGCTTTCTTCATCCTGCGGATACCAAGAACCCTAAGTTGCTGCTGTGGTTGTGCAAGGAGGAAGTTAGGTACTGTACTGTAGCCATATGTTATTTCAACCCTTTGGCATAGCTTGTAAAGAATCCTTCTTTTAGCTTCCTTTTTATAAACGGGTTCTTCTCCTTCCCTCTCACAGAGAAAGAGATTCAGATAAAGATGGTAAGATCAGTTTCGAAGAGTTTTTCCACGGCCTCTTTGACACTGTTAGGAGCTACGAAGAAGATAATATCAATTCTACGCATCCTTATCATGACTTGCCTGAAGGCCCGGCTAAGCAGTTGTTTGCTCAGCTTGACAAAGATGATGACGGGTACGTAATTTAAGAGTACACGTCATGAATACCATTTCTGATAAGACCATGCATCCCTTAACATAGCACCCTCCCACTCCTTCACAGTTACTTATCGGACGTTGAATTGCTTCCCGTTATCAATAAAATCCATCCTACCGAGCATTATTACGCAAAACAACAAGCTGATTATATTATATCACAGGTACATAGCTTTCAAAATAAATGGCCTACTTAGCTGTTGAATTGCTCGATGTAATATTGTTCCCTCTCTTTTTCTGATCTTCCAGGCGGATTCAGACAAAGATGGACGTCTGGCTCTGGCAGAAATGATTGAGCATCCATACGTCTTCTACAGTGCCATTTTCGATAGTGAAGATGACACTGATGATGACTACGGGTACCACGATGAGTTTCGTTAGTTTCATAATGAGTAAGCATCTGCCACAACCCTAGGTTTATTATTCAATCTTGTCCAAAAATGTTCAAACTTCAAACACTAATCTATATTCTCTATCGCATCTGACACACACAACAGAAGAAGAAATAACATCAGGTTCAATTCAATATAACTTCAAGGAACATTGCTCTCAAAGCAGGTGATCTCAGTTACATCAGGCTCCACGTTTTAATCTTCTTTATTCATAACTTTGTTCTTGACTCTCTTACTGCTATTCTCCAGTGGCATACCTCCGACGTGGGATGAAGAGGATCGGATAAATATTGAAATTGTTTCATTTGTATCGACATGTTTGTGACTGATTTGATCAAAAGATATTTAATCTTTTATAAGCAAAGCTTATGAATAGAAACTGTGGTGTTACATCAAAAGTCGGCACTGGGCCATAAAAAAAGGCAGATTATGACACAATCTTGAAATATTCGATAGGAAAAAAAAAAAAAAAAAGAGGAGTGAGATGTTTTAACATTACACTGTTTTCTTTATTTCATACGACGACGCTAATTCTCAGGCTACCAACAATCACCAGGAGCCAAGATTTGAGATTTTGAAAAAAGTTTGAAATCTTACTTCACCACACAGATCTTAATGACCGAGGCAGCTCCAATACGGTGCAGAGCCACGACTGCATCACCTTGGTTGCACAGTCCTCTCAGTGTAGCCGACTTCAAAGCGGCTTCAATGATAACTTCCGTGGACTCGCTATCTGTTGCCTTCGCGGATCCTTCAGCTAACATGGGGATTAAACCTCTGTATATCAGACTGTGCCTTGCAGGTGACTCGTCACTACAAGTCCAGTCAAAGGAATCGGTGGTCATAACTGGAACAACCACTGACAGAATCGGAACAGCCGGTCTGTATTTAGCAACAAGCGAAGCTGTTGAACCTCCACGAGTCAACACAATGATGAGTTTCGCATGCGCTTTGTTGGCAGTCCGTACAGCGGATGATGCAAGACTCTCCAGTGGGCTCATTGGAAGAGGAGTTGCTCGGATCATCTCTTTGAAAATTGTGTTGTAATCAAGTGAGCTTTCGGCTTCAATGCAGATCTTAGCCATAACTTTCACAGCTATCTCCGGATAAGCTCCTGCAGCACTCTCGCCGCTAAGCATCACACAGTCTGTGCCATCAAGAACAGCATTTGCAACATCCGTGGCTTCAGCACGGGTTGGCCTTGGTGATTTGATCATTGACTCCAGCATCTGAGTGGCTGTGACCACTGGTTTACCCGCAAGGTTACACTTGTAGATCATCAACTTTTGAGCCAAGAAAATCTTCTCTATCGGAATCTCCATACCGAGATCACCACGAGCAACCATGAACGCATCTGTCTCGCGCAATATCTCATCAAAGTTAACCACTCCTTCCTGGTTCTCAACCTTCAAAAACAAAACAGCAAAAACATAAGTCAGATTCATGCCTCAATATACATAAAATGCAATCATCACAAGTGTAAAAATTTACCTTTGACATCAACATTATGCTTTTAGCATGAGACCCAAGAACCCTTCGGACATTAACAAGATCCGAACCTTTACGGACAAACGAAAGCGCAATCATATCGATGCTGTTGGGAACACCCCAACCGAGAATATCTTCAATATCCTTGTCTGTCAAAGTGGGAAGATCGACAACAACACCGGGAAGATTCACGTTCTTTCTTTCGCCAAGCATGGCCGTGTTTTCACACCGGCACCTAACTGTTCCAGACTCGGGATCACATGACACGACAGCTAGACTTATGCTTCCATCTGCACAGAGTATGGTGTTTCCGGGCTTCACATCCAACGGAAGCTTTTTATAGCTCATGGAAATCGTTGTCTCATCTCCTTTGATGTCATAATCAGTGGTTATAGTGATCTCCTGACCTTCCTTCAGTTGTATAGGGTTCCCATCTTTCAAGAAACCAGTACGAATCTCAGGCCCCTGCGAATTCAACAAGCGAAATCAAATGCTGATTGTCTCTAAAAACGGTCCCTCTAAAATGAACTAGCTTGAAGTTTACACACAAAATAGATCGAAAACTATGATAAGAGAATCCATTTCAGCAGAGGCTTGCAAAAGGAAACGCAAGAAGGATTATATATATATATATATATACCTTTGTATCAAGCATGACAGCAGCGAGAATGCCAGTATTTTGCATAGCGGTGCGGAGGTTGTTGAGTGTATCCTGATGATATTCATGGCTTCCATGTGAGAAGTTGAAGCGAGCCACGTTCATGCCGGCTCTCAAAAGCTTTTCGATCATAGCAACAGTTCGAGAAGCTGGTCCTAAAGTGCAAACAATCTTCGTCTTTGGGATCCTCCCATCATTAGGCAGCTCCTTCAATATACCTTCTATGTCTATGTTCGACATTTTTCAACCCAAAATTCTTTCCTTTTCTCACGAATTCCCCCCTGCAAGCGAAAACCAATTGAGTGTAAGAACTCACACCCATCAACAAAACAAGCGAAAGAATATAAATTTCTCAAAATTTTTGTTTACTCAAATCCATTTTCCTTCATTACTAGATCCAGACAAAAGAAGAAGGTGAGTAACTGTAGCACAGAAGCTAACATAAGTTGCACAGATTCACTTAACCGAACATAGAATTTCAAGGAAGTCAACTATTCAAAGAACCGGAGTGACTGAGATTTGGATCCAGGATATAGAGATAAGGTGGATTGGAGAACAAGAGAGTATATGTATCGGAGAGTGAGAAAATACCTTAGCTCCGATGTTGGATTTGTTGTCGTGTCGGAGAAAGAGCCCTTGTTTTTCGGTTTAGACTTGTGTGACGACGATGACTCTGGTAGATTAGCTTATGAAACAAATAATTGGTAGCGACTGCCACGTGAACTTTCTAATTTAAAATTAATATACAGATATTATAAATCCATCTTGATTTATATCTAAGTGGTGGAGTATTTTAAAAAGACAAAAATTACTACATCTAACTGATATTTAAGAAGACAAAAATTACTAAATAATCAAACACTTTACGATCGTGATATTCTAGCAGAAGAGAGAATATGCCTGGGATCGAGATACTGTATGTGTGATCCCTTTATAATTTGTTGTGTGTAGTTTTTCTTTTTGTTTGTATCCATGAATACAACAAGCATTTCATACATTTTTCACATTGTTTTGTTTGGTTCTTTGGGAATTTCAATGGTCATATTCCTAAAACCAGAGTCAATGTCTCTTTTTGTTTTCCCTCTTCGCTTTATTAAGGAGCCATTTCATTTTTCACCTTCTTTTTCTTTTATAAGATCAATATTTCCTTCTTTTGCACGAAAAAAAATTAAATCAATGTTCCTAAATAAATCCATATTCTAAATAATACCTATTGACACTTGACATCCTATACTAATGTTAACACTTAACAACCAAAATTTTCCAAGTGATTGTTATCAAAACTTTTTTTTTTTATTGTTATCAAAACTTGTTAGCCGCTGTCGAATAATATTTCGTTGAGTTGTTCAATATGATGTATGATATTCATGTGAGTTTGATTAATTTCTAGATAATGACAAGTTATGTGATAAATTGGATACTATTGTCGCAATCTAGAGGATTTTCAAACGGCCTTCAACTCTCCACCACAATCTTTTGCTATGTATTTTTCTTTTTTAAAAAAAAAAAAAATCAGAAATTGAACTGAACTACAGAATAATCTAATCTGTCATTTTCCGGGGGTTATGAACCACCAAATGAGTTTGGAAAGAGATGTTCTTTTTTTGTTGGCAAAACGAAACTCAAAATCTTAAAATTAGTTGAAATCAGAGAACAAAGTAGTAACTAAGCTACTTCCACTGATAGCCTCCATGGATTCAAAACTCAGGCTTCTTGAAGCTGATGACTTGCAGAGATCTCAACATGATGCAAAAGGGCTTCAAATGCGTTTGGGCGGAACATACTGCACTCGCGCATCTTGGCATAGGAACTGCCAGTGGATTTCCGTCACATACAAGTGAAAAAGAAAATGAACAATCAAAACATGGAAACCGGATTCGTTTTTTAGGACCCATGTTCTTATTTGAAAACCAAAGCTAAGGATTGCTTATTCACATCGCAGAGCCACGTAAAAGTAAAATATCTTTACCTGCATTTCCTCTGGGAGTGTCTCTGAGACAGCAAGAGCGTAGCAACCAGGAGCAAACTTCCCTGGAAACAAGAATTGCGAAAGTGTAAAAACTATTTCCGTCTCAAAGAAAGCTCACAACTTTAAGAAAACAACATCAAGCCATATAAGCACGTAGAAAACTATACAAATGCAGTTACTACTCATACGGGTGTACAAGAAACAAGTAATATGGGATCTAAAGCAGGGTTTTACTGAATGAGATGTTGATCGTATAGACATCTTCAAAGTGGCGTGTTATATTGCCAAAAAATGAGATTTTAAGCTGGAGCAGCGTGGCAATCAGGAACAAGATTAACATGCCTACATAAAACTGTTTAAACCCGAACCCACATACACATTATCTTCTCCGAAAGAGAAAGATGTGATGAACAAGCAGTAGTATCTCAAGTGTAATGGTTGGAGATAAAGAACAAGAAACGGAAAGAAGAAGCAAACTGAAAAGAGAAAGTTAATAGTTCAGCTTCAGGATTATTAGGAGCTCAAACATACCAATTCTTAACCACCTTGCGGCCCAACTTCTGCGTGGATCCATCATACAGATTGTACTGCAAAACAATCATAATATCAACACCTAATATATGGAGGTTTAGACGGATGGAGATAGAGACATAAACCAACACTAGCACTATCTGTCTCTCTCACTGTTAAGTGTTAACTTTTTTTGCTTTGGCATGAAAGATGTCAAATACAGAATTCTTAAAGCAGCAAACTTTAGGCAACGATCAAAAGCGAGAGATAAGAATCGCATGTCACCACGAGTATAAAGGGTTCGAATTTAGGTCATACCCGTTGAAATTAGGAGTGGTAACATCGACAATACGCTCAGGATCTTCTTCGATTTTGAAGAAGGGACAATTCTCGCACCCAGAGTCCCTAAACTGTTGGGGAAACCATATTACAACGACGAAAGATACCGCAAGAGAAGAAACACGCAAACAGATTGAGAAAGTTCCCATACCTGATCGTAGGTCTTGACGAGGCGGCATCGAAGACAAGCCCTGAGCTCGTGGCCGAAACTTGTCGGAATCTGTGCAGGCGCTTCTCCCATTGTGTTTTGTCTCCAAAATTCGTTACACCTCGAGTTTCTTCTGATTATTCACGAACGAAAAGACGTCTCTATACGTGATTTTCTCTGTTTCTCCGATGCGGGCCTGAACGTGGGCTCATATCGTGGTCCCTAATATTGGGCTTTATTAGGCCTGAATAGACGCAAGCAAGGAAAATGCTGTTGACTTTGAGGTAAGATTTTCTGTTTTGGTAATTGTTCGATTCTTACTATTAATATAACTAGCTTTTGCCTAACAATAACTTATTATCACAACTAAGATGCGACTTTGATGAAGTTAGAAAACGAAGTCGAAGATAATGTTAAATTACCCATTCCCCTCCCTATATGCATCATACTATTTATTAAAATGGGAAACGAAGAAGATGATAAAGTGCCTAATCTATGTAGGTTACAACAAATCACAATTTACTTCAGTGGTCTCATATCTTTTTGGTTTCTATACAAAGACCAAACCAACCTAAATGAGAAACATAAAGCCTAAACTCTCTTTCACTGTGTTAAGTCAAAGTAACAATGCCTCTTTTCTGTTGGAATATTATAAGGCGCCATAAATATCGCTGTTGTTGAAGAAGCTGTCTTCTGAAAAATCGTGAGACAGCTCTGTAACCGATATATCTTCTGCCAAATGAAGGTTGTTGTTTGAGGCTGCTTTGAAGCTGTTGTTGCGGCTTGGAACTCGGCCTCCTCCTCCTGAGATGCTGGAAGTGGAGGCAGCTGGGTTTCTCTCTGCGTTACTGTTGCCACCACTTTGACCTGAAAAGGCTTGTTGCGGTTGCAAGGTTCCTCCGTTTTCAGACATCCCCTGCAACAGCTGGTTAAGCATCTGCTGCTCCTGATTGTTACCATGTGAATGCTGTGGTTGCAAATGAAGAGGAAGATTCTGCTGAAGCATGTTGGGAGCGCCGTTCATGGTGCGGTGCTGCTGTTGCATTTGGGGAGAGCTGGGAAATCCACCAGTTGCTACGTTCAGTCTCTGACGGGACGAAGAAGACGGGTTCTGGTTTGAGTTGGGGGTTGGGTTCTGACTCGGGAACCCCTCTTGTTTGCCTGTATTTGAGTTTTGGTTATTCATAGCATTTTGCCTCATAAGCATGTTTTGGTAGCTGGTCAGAGCTGCTGCAGCTTGAGCCGACCCATTCATAGCCCCACGACCAGCAACTTGATGGTGATTGTTGGAGTTGTTGTTGCCAGTTAGGCCATTCATCGTTCCTGGAGTCAACGCCATCTGAGCTTGAGCTGACCCATTCATAGACCCACTATTCCCCAACTGCTCCATCTCTTGCATTTTTTGCCTCTGGAGCTTCATTGTCTCCGTCTGTTCCAAAAGCCGTTTCAATCCCTCTGCATAAGGGACATGATAAGGCATCAAAACGTTTGCCTTCACTTAGAAACTCAATCACCAGATCAATTATAACATTTCAATAGTAGACGTACCAACAGGGCCAATTTTGTGCTCGCCAGTGAAATTCATCAGATCTTTCATGCTCTTGACAACTTCAGATATCTGTCCTTCAAAATGGCTCACTGTTAGGACTTCCTAAGACTTCCGATACAAAAAGTAACAGCTCGGAAAGCAGCTAATGAGTACCTGTAGAGTTCTGATATATCTTTTTGGATAGCCAAGATCATTCAGCGACTGTAATTCCATGAACTTTGCCAGCTGCCGTCCCGCTCCCAAGACCCTGACACGCAAATTAGCACCCGGCAATGATGATATAGCAGTAAAACAAAATGCCAGAACATAGACAGTAAAAGATTGGTCTGCGTCCACAACGGAAAAATAAGAAAATATTGGATTATTAAAAGCAACCAGGTGTTTTGGATCAACTTACATGTTACTGTTTGATTGTAAATTCTGCTGAGAAACTCCCTCTGACCCACTTTCTGAGATCGTGCTCTGGCATTTCTGTGCAACCTGAAGCAACTGGTTCACCTGCATGACCGATGATAAGTTTTAATACACTTTCCAACACCATTGTAGCATGTCTAAACATCTGTTCAGAAATAAAATTACAGCGTTTGTGCTCATGTTCATTGGAAACCAGAAGATCAACGTAGAGAATGATTAGGTAAACAGAGTATTAGCTATCCTCAATTTCATAAACAAGGGTTTAAGGAAACAGGTATACAGTTGACCACAAACGTTTTGTGTAAAAGTCTCAAGCTCCTAATAATTAATGCAAAAGCCTTGTCATTAGAGTCGGACCTGCGGAGCAATAAGTCTGCGAAGAAGAAGCTCTTCATGCCGCCGAGCACAAAACTCCCAAGACAATATCTAGAAAGAAGCAAAGTCAAGATTAGCTAAGCATCACTACACTGGTTATCGCTTGTTTTTTTCTTTTTCATGTTCTGTGAATAGGCAGGGCAACAGGAAAATGGAAGAAAGTCACAATTCGAATAATAGAGAATTGTCCTAGCTACCTTCAAATCTTGAGAGAATATGATGCGAAGATGGCCCTCACGGACAACACGAAACTGCTCATGTACAGATTCCTGAACTGCTTTTCTATATTCTAACATCATCAGTCCATTGGGAAATCTGTTTTCTCGTGGGTGATCCAGATATAAAAGCTCATCAATGATTCCACTAGCAAATTTGATTTCAATAAGTCTGGCAAGCACATCGAAAGTTGCCTCTGCGGATTTAACATGATAAGATGACAGTTTAGCAACCATTTTGACTATAAAGTTTTTTTAAAACAATTATCAGAAGCATTCAGAAGATGGAAGTTGCTTCATAGTGCTTAAAGCGAAGTCACAGAAATACAAGTAAACAGAAAGAATGAAACTTGCAACTCTCTTACCAAATCCTTTTCCAGACTTGGTGCCGCAAAGATCACATTGCCAAATATCCTGCAAATAAAATGGGAACATAGTGGGCTTATTAATTGAATGTCAGTGTAATATGTCGATGCAGACATATGGTAGAAAGAAAAAAAAACCAATATCATACAAAGATCAGAACACACGGAACTAATAAAAGACTGACCGGAGCTGCCTGTTGAAACATGCCAAGCACATGGTGCCCAGAACTTTCGTACTGTGACAAGCACAGCCTTTGCTTTGCACGAGGTGAGAAGTATTCTGCCACAAATTTCCTCCAATAGGTAATGCAATTTTCCTGCGGAAGAAGTATCAGACTATCAGTGATGGAAAGAGATAAATGTGATGAAAAATTGTCCATAGTTTGGTATCAGCTTACAGCAGGTCGTTGTTGAAGATGATACAAGTACATCATCAGTTTGCGAGCACAGACGCCAACTTCATAAGGACGTACATTAGGAGGGATGTGTTGAGTGCCTTGCTGCTGCAATTGCTGTCTCAACTGCTGCTGTTGCTGGAATTGGAGTCTCTGAGAAGGTGACATGGATTGAAGAATCTGCTGCTGTTGCCTCAGTCTCTGCTGATGAAGCAAAGCTTGCAACTGGGGATTCCTTCCCGTGGGGTCCTGTCGCTGGATCAATTGCTGTAAGATCTGCTGCTGCAACAAGTCCTCTTGCTTCACTTCTAATCTGGGTTTCTTATCAACATGGAGATAATTGTTGTCCCTCATCGGAACTGGAATTGAATCTTGTCCTGCTTGCTGCTGCTGAGACAAGTGTTGCATAGAAGCAGACCCATCAAGAACCAATGAACCCGGAATGTTAATGTTATTCGAGGAGAAAGACATTGCTGATGTTACTATTGACGCCTCCGCATGTTTAGAGCTTATTCCAAACTCGATTCGATAGCTCCTGAGATCGGTGACTGTGTAATAAATAGAGACAATCAATGAACCCATCAATAAGAACAAGACAAATAGAATTCTATATCGAAGCATAAATCTAAGAAAAATAATGCACACATACCCAGTGATTCAAAAGTTTTCGGTGCGGAAAATTCAAACCCTTGCCTTGGTTATCTGATAGGAAGAAGAGAAATTCTCACTCTCTACGTAAATTAAGGAAATGAGAAACGAGATTCAAGTGCAGATAAAAAGTATCCAATCATAAACCTAAAACAAGAAAACCCAAAAAAAAAACCCAGAAACAGAGAAAGACAGAGAGAGAGAGAGATCGAAAGAGAGAGAAGGCGAGTTCACATTGATTTCTATTAAGTTAGATTAATCGGAAAAAACACAACCTTTAGATTAAAAGATAGACCGATCTCAGCCGTTCAATTATTTTGTTTCCTATAAAAAATTGCGGATCCCAAAAAAATGGGTTCGCTAGATTTGGGTTTCAATTTCTACGTTAACACAAAAACTTATAAAAGAGCAGAGAGCCCAAGGGAAGAAAGGTGCAAGATCTATGCTATTACATAGTAGAGGATATTGATATTTGGTTCCTGGGATCAATAGATGTGACATTCTTCTAACGAGTGATTGTACAGAAATGTTTCGATGTCATCAGATTCAGATGGCAGAAGAAGAAGTCGGGAATTTACTTGGGTTTGTATATTCATTCAGTAATTACCAAAAAAAAAAGCTAAAGGTTTTGATAACTAATCTTCTGATTAAGATTTGAAACAAAACGCCTATAACGAGAGCAAGTCTGCAAAACTTTTATGATGAAATGAAATAATCTCTCTGATAAAGACGACGGGCTTTATGTTTATGGTTAGTTGTTGTCAGCTGGTGCTCCGTTTTCGACTGGAGGAGGAGAAGTGCCCCATCTTCCTTCTGCTTCCGATGGTTCAAGCACGTGGACTGCGCCATTACTCAGCCCTACTGCAAACTGGTTAGTCTCCGATGGATGAGCTGCGATCACAAGCGGATATACTCTTGCGCTGCAAAACCACATTTACAAAATGTCACAAGATAGTTACTTGATCCCTACTTTTTTTTTTTTTTTTTGGTCGAAACTTGATCCCTACTTTGAAATAATGAAAGAGGAGACAATTAGTCACCTTGGGTTCGAAGGCAAGTAAGCTGTTGGGTTAATCCGACATCTCAATCTGAGATTTGAAGCAGTGAGGACATCTACACTACCATTTTCAAAGCTCACAAAGATCGACTGGCTATCACATGAATACGCAGCTGATGTGATTGGACCAGTTGCTTCCCGTCGAAACCACTGTTTCCATTGATATCAGTGAAATTATTAACTGGTTCATACCGAGAGAGCCTGCAATACACACTAGTTTCATTCAAATCTTATTATACCTGTTTCAACCAATCCAGTTTTTGAGCATCGTAAATTGCTATTTGCGTTTCATGCACCACCAACAGATGAATCTGATCCAGATGGAACTGCACTCGGGTTTCTGAAACAGCCGGCATTGATCTTCCATGTGGAACTTGCAAAAACTTGCTACTTTGCTTCTCCCATCCATCTGTGCTCCAAATGCACAACTACAAACCCCCAAAATGTAACCAAGTTCACCTAACTTCCCAAGTGCCCATTGAAAAGCCAAATTCACAACACAATACTCTTACCTGTGAATCAGCACCTGACGAAACCAGAATGTTCAGGGTCTGTGAGAAAGCAAGTCCTGTTATTCTGTTCTGATGACCAGTCAACTTGGTTTTCACCTAGCGAGTGCATAAAAAACATTGCAACTTGTCATTATATATTCAGGATTTTTACCAACCCAGCTAATCATCATCTGTTCATCCCAATCAATACCTCATCAGTACGAACGTTGTAAATTTGGATAGATGAATCCTCCATGCCTATGGCAATGATATTATTGTCCATAGGATGAAACGCAAGGAATGTAGCTGCAGGCGGTGGAGGCATGAACGTCGTCATAGTCTATAGGTTAGAAAATGCAGCATTAGCATGAATATTTTTAAATTTATCCTTATTATAAGAATGTGATTTAAGATTTGCAACCGGATACTTCCCTTTTCTGAATGTTAAAAAATCAAAACAAAAAAAACTCTGAACTTTTTCGAAAATGCCATCCTGATAAAACAAAGATCCGTCTCCTGAAGGCTGAATGAAATTTTAAAAGAAAGATATGGTTAGTCACCTTGAATGTCATCATGTTGAACAAAGAGATTTTCCCTCCTGAAGCTGACATAACGTAGGAGTCATTCTTCGAGAGGGCAAAACAGGGAATAGACTCTTCAGGGTTCGAATCACTTGTGTCATTGGTCATCATAATAATCCCACTTGCAGGTTGCCATAATACTGGTTGTTCACTAGCCGTTGCCTAGAAGAAAATAAATGAAGGCCATAATTTGCTTAGTGATCACAACCAGAAACAACAAATACGCAACTCCCACCTAACAATGTAAAAACGACACTAAGACAAGGAGGCAAGGGGACCTTTCCAGCCAAATTATGATCGCTTTTCTGCCATTTCCACAGCTTGTGCACTGCATTAGACGCCAAGGCCAATAATCCAGATCCAGAATTTGTGTAAATTAATCTGGGAACCTGAAACTCCCACCACAGAAAACATGAGTCAACATAACAAATCACAAATTCAGTTACTACTTACTACAAGATATATCTAAGTCGAGTAACAAGATTATAACTTCTTCACTTGTAAATGTTGACCAATTCGTTATATGAAGATAGCAACTAGCTTGCAGATAGAAGCATGCTTCAACTATAATATATTACCTTTGTCACTATCACATTGTCGGCGAGCCTCAAAGAGCAGCATTGAGATGGCTCTGTAATCTCTGTAACTTTCCAGTTTCTAGATCTTTCACCTAAATCATCAGCGGTTCTGGGCTTCACATCAGCCAGAGTTCGCACATCATTGTTCTGAATAGTTAAAACTGTTTAGTCATACACTGAATAATCACCAGGCTAAAAGGAACACACCCAAATTCAGACTTAAACCCACCTCCATAGCTGCAAACGAGGTAGATCGATCTGCCATAGTTATACCTGCATTTCCATTCGAAGAACCAAAACATCCACCTGCAGAAACCTGCACACCAGATTGTGTTAGCAAATTGCGTACAATGTCCACAGAGATTGTATCCACGAAAATATACCTTCATGACCGGTGCAGGTCCAAACGAACGATTTTCCGCTGTCCTAAGCAACCTAATTCCATCATCAGTAGCGAGAATTCTAACACCATGGTCATTGGTTGAGACAGCTAAAAGTATTCCTTCCCTATTGAATCTCACACAAGGAGAAGCCTGCAGGTTTTGCAGGACGAATTAGCTGCTACTTAAGAAGTAGTAGAAATAGCTAGAGGCCACAATCATTCAGTAATATTACCGGTAAGCCACCATCTGCATGAATAGTTGTCAAAGGATTTGTGTTGTCCATGTCCCAAATTTTGATAGACGACTCATCACCAGCAGCTAAGAATCTATTCTTGATTGTGTCAAATTGCACAATCCCCACAGCCCGTTTTCCAAGGCCGTGATAAGTTCTTTTTACGGATCCTTCACTTTCATTCCACTCCACCAAAAATGACTCGCCTTCTTTGTTTGTACCACAGGAAAACAACCTGTAGTATTACATATAAATTGATTTAAATTTCAAAGGAAAAGACAACAGTATGCTTTACGAAATGCTGACAATATTTGAGAAAGTTAGATGAACCTTGTTCCATCACTGCTATATGCCATTCTTGTCGAAGAATGGCCAGGTGCATCATAGTCAACTCTTGAACCCAAATTATCATACAACCAAGCTTTTATTTTTCCATCAGTTGCTGTTGAGAAGACAAACTGCATAGGATCTAGAATGCATTAGAGATAGTTTCACTCGTTACAGGGGCTTCAAGTCTAAATAGTTAAATGTATACACACTACATTCAGTAAGCGACAATTATATCCAAGGGTATTTAATGTCATGACAGACAAATGAATCATAGCAACCATATCAGACTGATTGTAAGTTACAACAACCAAGAAAGAAACAATACTTGTTACCTGAATATTTTCCTTGTAGTGAGGACAAACAGAGAATACAGAAGCTTCATGACCCTCAAAAGTAAACCGTTTAACCCCCGTAACAGCGTCCCAAACCTTTGGATTATTTTGGTTCATGTAAGTCATGCGCAACCATTAACGTGCCAATAGAACATGATAGTCAGAAAGGCAAACCTTAATGATTCTGTCATCCCCACAAGTAACAACAGATAGTTGCTTGTTAGGATATGAAAAGGCAAGATGGTTAACACTTCCTGTATGAGCTTCAATCTGCAATCAGAGGAAAGAGTAAACCAAATTGTAAAGCTATGGTGATATGAACATACGGAAAGCTAGTATCCAACTACCGTGACTGATATGAATGAAAGGAATAATTAGTAAAACAAACCTCCAGATGATTTCGTATGTCACTGCCCCCGTGAAAGGAATAGATATGTACAATGCTTTTTGAGTATGCAACCCCTGAAAAATGAAAACAGTGTGCAGGTTTTCCATGTTTTAAGACTGTTTCTATTCGGTGAATAACCTTTACAATTTAATCACAAAATTTATCCACTGCTCTTAAAGCTAAACAATTTCTTCTATTCTGTGAATAACCTTTACAACTTAATAACACAATTTATCCACTGCTCTTAAAGTTAATAAATTTCTGGAGAACAGTTGGCACGTACCAAATAGAGTTCCATCGGGACTCCATGCCACATGATTTACAGATGCCGTCTCATCAGCGTTCAAAGATGCCTGTCCACAAATTTAAAAAAACTAAAGCACTTCTTCTTAGAGTACGGGAACATATCCAAAGGGTGAGAGGTAAACCTGCAATTCTTTTGAACATGCATCAAGCTTCCAGACATCAAAACCCTTTTCCGCAATCCTTTGACGAGCACCCAAGTCCCACAGGAAAACATCACCACCAATTGTACCAACTGACAACATATATTCTCAGTTCCCTTAATCGATGAAAAGGAAGAAAAAAAAGCAAGAAATGACATTACAGAAACTGCACGTTTGAGAGTATGACATACCCAGTAGTAAAATTTGCTGAACTGGATGGAAGTCCATGCTCACAGCAAGTGAACCCTGAGCAAGAGTTGTAACAACTACTTTGGGCAAGTCATCAAGTGATAAAGTATTATGTCCCAGGGGATGGCCAGAATATGGAACTGGCATACTATTTACTGGAATATTACTCGCCTGAAAAATTAATTAAAAACCACCAGAACTTAATCCCA